CGGCTTTCCTGCTCCTTCCTGCCGGGCATTGTTGGGCCACCCTAAAATCAAAGGCTTAGGCGTGTTAGTCTGCAGAAATGGCATCCATGAACACCCAACACCAAAAAAAACAGCCCCAATTTCATCCACAGGATTCCATATCTACTACTGTAAAGGAGAGTTTAAAGGATCCCCTAAGATGGCACACCATGGGGAAAACCAGCCCCCACTCCAAAGAGCCTGCGCAGATGCTTTTTCTTCAGCTTCCTTCTTGTCTTTTGCATTGTCCTGGCACCGTGTTGCGAGGCATACACATTTACACGGCCGGGAAAAAGGGTTGAGAACCTACCTACCATAGCACAGTGATGGTTATGGAATTAAACAAGGGCCTTTTTGCAAGCTAGAGGACACAACACAAAGCTGGCACACAGCCCCAACCCCAATTCAAGGAGCCTGATCGGCTGGCGGTTGATGGGCTTCCTTCTCGGGCTCCTCCCCATCCGGCTTTCCTGCTCCTTCCAGCCGGGCATTGTTGGGCCACCTAAAATCAAAGGCTTAGGCGTTTGCAGAAATGGCATCCATGAACACCCAACACCAAAAAAACAGCCCCAATTCAAGGAGCCTGATCAGCTGACGGCTGATCGGCTTTCTTCTCCGTCTCCTCCGTAACAGGGTTTCCTGCTCCTTCCTGCCAGGCATTGTTGGGCAGCCCTAAAATCAGAGCCTAAGGCGTCTATATATATATATATGCATTTATTTAATTATGCAGAATGCAGAATGGCATGAATGGCATCCATGAACAACCAGGCATTAAAAAAACTCTCATATCATCAACAGGACTCCATACCTACCCCTAAGATGGCACACCTCGGAATCTTGCTCGGCAACTGCAGGGAGCGGCTCTGGCTCGCTTGATGCTGCCGATGGGGTGTCCGAGTTCTTGATGCGTTCCCACAGCAAGATCCCGAAAGCTGTGTCATAGTCCTTTTGAATCCTCTGCCGCAGAGGTAGTCTGGGCTTGGCCTTGAAAGTCAAGCTGCTTGCTACATGTTATAAATCTACATAGAATAGAATCACATATATATATATATATCCTCTGCCACTGTGTTGCACTGTATACACTTTTCAGTGTTGAGGAAAAAATGTCCAGAAACTACCACAGAAAACCCTGCCAGGATGGCTCTAGAATTATATATATATATATATAAAGAAAGGTCTGTTTGCAAGCTAAAGACAAAACCCAAGATGGCACATAGCCCAGCCCCGATTCAAGGAGCCTGAGCAGCTGATGGTTGGCCCTCCTCTGGCTTGTTTGCGCCGTCCTGCCAATCCAACAACGGAAGAGGGAGCAGAATTTCCATATGTACAGGTATATATATATATTTATATATATATATATACAAATATAAGAGAGAGAGAGAGAGAGAGAGAGGTATGCGGAATTCCAGCGCCTCTTTCTTTGATTGCTGGACTCCCTAAGCTGGCACACACCACAGCCCTGTAAGTTCTAGATGCTTCCGGTGCGCAGGCACTTTGGCTGCAAAAGGTCTGCCCCATGACCTGAGCGCCCAGATGAATTATATATATGTATTTTTGTGCATATGTGCCTGGAAAACATCGAGAAAGTACCTGTACTCTTCCTCAGTCAGTGCTTTCCGGTGGTGCCAGCTGCCGTGGTCCCTGCAAGGCTGAACGTACTTCTGCCCTCTTAACTTTGCGAGCATGGACCATCTTCTCTCTTCTCCCACCTGGGCTGGACATCAACCACCCATCACTGGATGAACTTGAGGCCGGCGATCGCGGTGCTATTGGATCTGTACTGGGAGCGAGAGATGGCAATGTCGCCAACAGGGCAAAGTCCAAGGGCCTGTCAAAGACAGGTGTGGGGACAGATGTGGACCTGGGCGTTTGGTCACGGTCCCGAATCACCAAAATGGAGCTGTTGTCCTTGCTTGTGGCAGAAAAGCGGCAGCTGGCTCTCAAACCAATCTGCTTGGCCAGCTGCTTGGCCAGGCCAACCCCAAGATCGCTGCAGCGCAGGAAGGCGCAAGCCAGAAGGGCTGACATGATGAACAAAGCAGCAATCAACATGGAGGAAAGCATCCCTTGCAAAATCACTACTGCCACAAATCTCTACAATGTTTGAGAGGTAGCGTAGCGGCAACAACCCATAGTCACGTGGACCCACTGCCAGGAATGTTTGCCTTTGTATGTATATATATAATATAAGAGTATATATAAGTCTATGTATATATATAGATTCATACCCGAAACAGGCGACCCCTCTCCGTCCTTTGCAAAGGAGTTTGGCAGTCTGCGTCTTTTCTGTACCTGCTGGAGAATGTCAGCAAAACGTTGCGCAACCCCATCTTGACGCTGTCTACCAGCCCTTAACTGGCATGATTTGGGAAATCCTGACGCCCAGACCATCTAAGATGGCACACACACACGTATATAGAAGGAATCATCTCCATGCCATTGCCACAGA